CAAAAAAACAGATTCTTGTACAGTTCATGTTGTTGCTCACTGCAATGAATTATTAAGTCTTGTAAATCATGTTATTCAGTCCCGCAAAATTTCTGGTGGCTATTATATTAGGCTCGGAATTGATGGTGGCAAAGGTTTTCTCTAGTTTTGCCTAAGCATTGTTAATACTGCGTTAAGGGATGAAACCAGCTCACCGCACCAATAACAACCTCTCACTCAAAGGATTGGGAAAGACACTGGAGTCAAGAGACAAATTATTGTTGGGGTTTCAGAAGATTTGCCAGAAACACACTCCAATATTTAACAAATCTGGTCACTGATTAATGCAAATAGAGTTAAACTTATTTCGGCTTGTGATATGAAAGTTGCAAATATAATTTGTGGTCTTCAAACTCATTCTAGTACGCACTCTTGCACCTGGTGTGACGTCAAATCCAATTGTCTTGCTAAATATGGAAACTTGCGAACACTGGGCATAATTAATTCAATCTTTTCAGCAACCTGGCGGAGTTGTTGATAATACAAAGCTGTTTGGCAATGTCATTCGAAAGCCAATTATCTACGGGCCTGTCAATGTTCTGATTTTGGAAATCATTCCACCAATGGAATTGCATCTCCTCTAAGGAGTTGTCAAACATCTTTTCAAGATCCTTAAAACTGCTTGGATAGAAGCTGTTTAGTAGCCAGCCGCTCTTCACATTCAACTGAGCCTGTATCACAGGGGCCAGTTTGAGGGAAATGAATGCAGGAAGCTTCTTAAAAAATGTGGGTATGCTGCAGCATCTTGCTGAGACTAACATGGTTCTCAATACTGTAAGTTTAATTGAAGCATTCAAAAGCTTCAATTTAATTGTCAAGGCTTGCTTTGGATACATCCTTCAGCCGGATTTTGCTGAAAAAATTAAAAATTTAAAAAAGTGTTACCTAATGATAACTGGTGCAAGCGTAACACCCAAAATTCACGCTGTCTTCTACCATATCAAGCATTTCATCAGTCACAAAGGATCCCCTATGAGGCCATATAATGAACAAACTGTCGAAACTTCTCATCAAGATTTTTGTTAGCATTAATCGAGATATAAGCAAAATAATAATCTTCTAGAGTAAAAAGAAAGATTGTTGCGCTGCATAACTGATCTAAACAGTAAGCATCTTTAAAGAACATCATTTGAAATATTTGAAATTAGGCCACTGAAATTTATTTTTTACGGCGTATAATGAGTATTTTCACCATCTTTAAAAGTAGTACTATAGAGATTTGTATTAAAAGAGTACATTGAGCTATTTATTAATAATCTTTTGGTGGAGAAAATCAAAAAAACATTTCTCAAAATGTAATTAGATATTTGATGGTAATACAATGTAAAACATAGAGTTTAAATAGTTTTCACTTCATTTTGAAAGTAAATGTATTTAAGGAGGTCTATACAAAATATTTTAGGAGATCTACTTTTTTTTTGTTTTACTAACTGATGTCTTTTTTTTTGTTTTACTAGCTGATGTCCTTAGACCAGATTTTGCACTTTTTTTTAGTTTTTTTTGGCAGCAGTATTTACCTTAGGAAATGTTAGTATATTCAAGCGAAGCATACATAGCCGTCAACGGCGGGGAGGCTAGGGGGTCTTGTCCTTCTCTACTTTATTTTTTCGAGGTCCTTTTCTTTTAGAAATATCGGGTAGACTCGGAAAAATCCGGTCAACTTTAAATTGAGATTTCTCTAAAACATAAATGTTTTTTATTTCAATTTTTTTATTATTAAATGTGTTTACATAAATTAGAGTTTCAACTTAATTTTAAGGGGCTTCATGGTTTGCTTGGCAAAAAATCGAACTTTATAGCGGGTTGATGCCATCATTTTACAGATTTTTTCTTTTTTCTCCATATTGGTGGCATTAATCCACTTATTTTGTAAGTCCTTTTCATTATTTGTTTGTCCACCTGTCTTACAAAGAACTCCTTTAACTATTGCCCAAATATCTTCTATCTTGCGCTTTTCAGGAAGATTTGGAGGATATGCATCTTTAGGAACAATTTTCACATTATCATCTTTGCACCACCGTAAAACTTTTTTAGAAAAGTGAGAGGCAGCAAGATCGGGCCAAAAGAGACATCGGTATTTGTGTTTTTTTATAAAAGGCAAAAGTCTTTTTTGGAGGCATTCTTTGATGTAAAGATTAGCAGTCGAGGTCTTTTTAGTGACAAAACAAGAGGACTGCATACCACAGCTACAAATTGCTTGCCACACAAGGAACTTGGATGCAAATTTTTCTCGTCGAATATATTTAAATTGATCATTGACAGGTTTATCTTTGTTTTCATAGTAAAACTGTTGACCAGGAAGTTGTGAAAAATCCGCCTTGCAATACGTTTTGTCGTCTTCAATTATGCACATATTTTTATCCGCCATTATTTTAACCAACTTCTTTGCGCGTCGAATTCCTCCGTCGAATTCACAATTTAAGCTTTTTTCAGGTGTATTTTTTTTATGAAATGCTTTAATTCCAGCATTTTTAAGTATATTTTTGATATAAGAACGAGAAGTCTTAAATTTTCTTGCTAGATCTTGCTGTGACTGATTTGGATTTCTTGCTATTGAACGTAAAATCGACTTTCCTTTTTTGGATTTATGGAAAGTTTTTTTTCTTCCACTTCCAAGTTTTCTTTTGAAACTTTGAGTAGTCTTGAACTTGTTTATAATATTTATGACTGTAGATTTTGGGACATTTGTGCGTTTAGCAATCAAGCGATAGGAAGTCGATGGATTTTTGCAACCCGATATAGGCAATTATTTTAGAAGTTATGGATTTTATTTTAGAAATTGAGGGATTTACGCCCTCCACTTTGAAGGCCGTGTCGACACTAATAGAATAAGACTATTTAAATCACGCATTAAGTAGAAAATTGCTATTTTGATCTATAAAATGAAAACTGTACATGTACCGATAAAATAGTTATAACAAAAATTGTTGGTAGTACATAGTAGATCACTCATGTAACCGTAATTTTCAAAATAATGATCGAAAATAAAGAAATCGGTATGGCTTTGAGGTATAAGTAGCAAAAAACTGACAAAATTTTAACTAAAACTGCAATAAATGCTACACCAGTCATTCAATCAGGCTGAAATATTGTCCAGAGTTTGGTGTGACTATTAACTACATTTGCACTAATTTTTATAAAATTATATCAAGTTGTTCAAATTCTCTAAGTGTTTTTGTTGGCGCAATATGAAGTTAAAATTTGACTTAATTTGGACGTTTGAATTAAATTATTTTTCACGGACAAAACTAAATGATTTTAAAATTTGCATCACAGGGTACTTTGATGTGTACGCTAACTTTCCGTATAAGTGGCGTTCTTGGGACAGCAAAGTAGGCATTTTAAGGATCCGTGTTAACCGTGTATTGATAGACATTTTTTGAAACAATCAAAAGCAAAAAATGTCTATCAAATTAACAAGTTTCAAAGTTTTGTTGTTTATTTAAAAAATTAAACTTAAAAATAAATTTTTAATTATAGAAAAAATACAAAACAAGAGGAGAAAGAAACTTTAAATTACCATTAAAATATATATATATATATAAATATATATATATATATATAAATATATATATATATATATATATCTTGCGTTTCTCTATTTTATATCATGGTCTAAATCTATACAACAAAAAAGTATCAAAAATATTAAATATACAAAATTTTCTAACCTGAAATCTCATAAAACATTATGTCATCTTAAACACGAATAAATTTATGAACATTATTTAAAAATAAAAAACGTAAAACCAATGAAAACAATAATAGTCTTAACCATATATATAAATAAAAAAAGCAAGGATATATTTAGCAATTATAAAATATATAACAGTTCTGCGTAAAATTGTCAACTTTATTTTTACATACATATTATCTATACACGAAAATATTAAATATACAAGTACGTGTATATTAACTATATTTTCAATATAGTAAATCGTGTACTTGTTTGTTTAAAATAAGCAAACTTTTTTTGCATTCTTTTTATTTTTCTTGGATTCTTTTTATTTTAAAGCTATTTAAACTGACAATACAATGAGATCAATACCTTTTTTGCTTGTTAAGATGAATTTATTGTAAAAATAGTATATAAAATAATGTAAAGCATTTACAATTATTTAATAACATTATTTACAGTTGATATTTTATGAAACTATAAAAATACCGTGATACGCTATTATGACAACTTTTTTTAACTAAATATTTTAAAATAAGTATCTAGTTTTATTAAAAGTCAGCATCCAAAAAGTAGAACTCCACAATAATGTAACTAAAAAAACTTTTGTTTAAACTATATTTCTTTCTCCCATTTTTTCATAATTTAGGACCCAGCATTTATGGAGGGGGGGGGGCACTGCAACTGTAAAATAATACTCCATTGTGTCATAAACAGTTCAATAAATCATTTCTTTTAATATTTGAAGCAATTTTTAAGATATTTATGCAAATATAAATCTAAGATTTCAAATTTCGATACTAAGCCATTATTTATTGATGCTAATAATTACGATTAGATCATGTATCACAAAAATGACATTTAAAACAATTATCTAGATTATTAAAATGTGATTTAGACTATTATATGCGTTATTTGGGTTATAGTTATTATTTAGTGTCTTTCAAGTATAAATTTGTCTTTTTTCTTAGTTTTATGCTTTTTAAATACTATTTTAATGATGCTCATATTTTGTATGAAGCTATCATTAAATGAGGTACCTAGATACAAATTTCCGGTTTTAATTTCGATAGCCTCACAAGGTTAGTCTGTAGTACTTTAGTAAATGATAAATTTATTTTTTCAGCTATAAATATATTTTACAAATAAAACCAATCACTTAAAAATTATTTAAAAAATTGAATCAATTAAAAAGTTGATTGAATGAGTTTAATATGTTAATAAAAATTTAAAAATACATAAATTTTTTCATTAGATTTCATATGTAAAAATATGCAATCAAAAATAAATCGTATTTGGTATTTTAAGTAAATTTAAATTAAAACGAACCAGTTGATAAATGTGTTTTAAGAGTTTCTAAACTATTAAAATAACATTTAAACTTTAAAATATTATGCTTTTCATTGTTTTGATAACATTCTGTACTTTCACATATAAGGTCTATTGTTGTTTTAAACACGGACAACATTCTTTTGATAAAATAGCATTGTTTAATCTGATTAACTGTTCTTTAATTAATGTAAGTTCTTCCTGCATATCATTTTTAGATGTTGATTTCACTTCTTCGTTCAAATATCTGTTAAAAAAGAAAGACATTGGAAGATTTGCATCATCAATTTTGTTTTTGTGCATTCCTTTGTATTTGTTGTACATAAATGGAATGGCATCTTGAATTGTGAAAATAAACATTATTATAAAAACAGTTATTAAAGAAAATTTAATGTAATTATCTTCCATAACTTCTTTTACGGTTTGTATAGAGTCGATGTCTATCTAAATAAAGTCAAAATATTTATAAAAACAAAAATTTATTACAAATATATAACGTAGAAATTAGATAATATAAATTAGAAATTAGATAACGTAGAAATTAGTTAATATAAGATCCATCATATTGACACAAATCAGATATAGCATGAATTTTGGATCAGTATATTTTACTTTTAAGATAAAAACAATTATTTTGAAAATAGGGTATGTTCAAAGAATAAACATTGTAAATTTTGAATTTCTTTTAAATTTTAGTATACTTTGATTTTTTTTAATGATTTTATTAATGTTAAATTTTATTGCTTGTATGTTAGAATAGATTATCATTACATTTATTTCGTTAAAATTAGAATAAAAACTAATGTTGTAATAGCATCTGAGTATCATTAAAAAAAAAGGGTTTTTTGTTTTTAAAATACTTAGATGTTCCTTTCCTTGCCGCTGTCAAACTGAAAATAAGCTATTTTAGGTATTACAATATATGATATATAAATAAAAAAGTCTGCTATAACTGATTATGAGTGACTCTAAACTTTTGGTCATGACTATATATATATATATATATATATATATATATATATATATATATATATATATATATATATATATATATATATATATATATAAATTTAACTAAATGAACTTTAAGTTTCATGTCATTTCGGCAATCATCAGCCATATATGTATTTTTTAATCAAGATTTTTATGATCTATTTTGTAAATATATATTTACATTATATTGATCATTCTAAGAGGTTTTGTATCTCTATTTGGTACAAAAAAACTTGCAACAGCAACAATATATATATATATATGTATGCATATATATATATATATATATATATATATATATATATATATATATATATATATATATATATATATATAAATATAAATATATATATATATATATATATATATATATATATATAAATATATATATATATATATATATATATATATATGTATATATGTATATATATATATATATATGCATATATATATATATATATATTTATATATATGTATATATATATATATACATATATATATATGTATATATATATTTATATATATACTTATATATACATATATATATATATATATATATATATATAGTAATAGTAATAGTAATACAAATTGCTGTAACGACGATTGTCGCGGAGTATAAAGTTTAAAATTTATACTTTAACAGCCGTTAACAAATGTTTATCTAGTCTAGCTTTAAAAGAATTTACTGTCATTGCAGAAACCACATTTTTAGGTAAAGCATTCCAATGAGGTATCACTCTGTTCGTAGAAAGATTATGTCTCGGTGTTGTTTTTGCAAATTCTCTTTCAAATTTCATTGGATGACCTCGAAGTCTCTGGGAAGAAGCTTTATTAGGCTCTTTATACTATAATATCTTATCAATCACAGTTGTTAATTTAAAGAAAACAATGAGATCTCCTCTTATAACTCTTGTTTCCAGAGTTGTGAGGCCCAACTTTGTCAATCTTTCGGTATAACTTAGATGTTTTAGTTCAGGGGCTAGCTTTGTTGCTCGCCTTTGAATTTTTTCTAGGTCATTGATATTGTTTTTATTACTTGGACTCCACACTGGAGCTGCGAATTCCAAGTGTGGTCTAACCAACGATGTGTATAGTTGCCTTACCATTTCAGTGTTAAGATAAGTAAAGCTTTTTCTTATTAAACATAAGATTCTTTGTGCTTTACTTGTAGCTACTTGAACCTGATGATTCCATTTCATATTGGATGAAACTATTACACCCAAGTCTAGTTCTTTTGTTGTTGTTTTTAGAAGAAAACTTTGATTGTCGTGCTTTATAGTGTAGTTATAGTTAATATTTTTTCTTCCAATGTGCATAACACTGCATTTATTTATGTTAAAGTCCATTAACCATACATTTGACCATTCAGTTAACAAATCAATGTCATTTTGCATATTAGTTAGATGATTATGTTCTTTTATAACAGATATGATTTTAGTATCATCAGCGTATAATTTTGCGATTGAAGAGATACATTGGGGAAGATTATTAACCCGCATTGATGAGATCTGATTTATTACAGAGTGCTTACTATTTATGTATGAAAAAAGTATTTTTGGGTAGCGCTTATCAATGGCCAGAGCAAGTTCTAAAGATTTCAGAGAAGAACAACTTAATTTTTTGACAAACTTTCTTGTTTGTTTATATTCATGGACCAGGGATACAATTTTCCATTTTGAGCTGACATTGCGGGCCCATAGTGACTTTTTAAGAAGAATCAGAGATAAAAGTTCTTTTGTTATCCATGATTGTTTTTTTGCGATATGGTTTGTTTGCATACAAAGAAGAATCAGAGATAAAATTAAGAAGAATCAGAGATAAAAGTTCTTTTGTTATCCATGATTGTTTTTTTGCGATATGGTTGTTTGCATACAAAGGATAAATCGAAGACAGCATTTATTGTATTTGTTGAGCCAAAACTGGTAACATTGTTCCGCGTTTAAGTTTTTAAAGGCAGATGGCCAGTTAATTTTGTTAAATTCTTCATTGATTTTTTTGTAGTTGCCAAGCTCGTAAATGAATTTAGAGCTGTTGAAATGTGACAATTTGTCACTAGAAGTCAGTTTGTATTGCCAAGTGATGGAGCAATGATACTGTTAAGACAAGCCGAGTGGAGGACCGGTGTTGATTTCATTAGCACGATCAGAAGAGTCGCAAATGATGAGATCGAGAGTTTTTATCATCGGACAATGAGCAGGTTTGAAAGTTGGGACAGTGATGATTTGATGTAGATAAAGATCTTGAACAAGAGAAATAAACAATGAACTGAGACCATATTGGGTAGAGGAGATAAAAGAATTGGAAGTCTAAGTAATCTCTGGGAAATTAAAGTCACCAGCAATAATGATGTCATTGTATTTTTTGGTTAATATTGCAGTTTTGGCATGAAAGATAGCATTGGAAATTTTAGAGAAGTTTTTGGTACCAGAAAATGGAGGCCTGTAAATACAGCCTAAAAGCAGAGTTTTGTTTGGAAGCTTTAGTTCAATCCACAGTTGTTCTGAATAGTAGCAAATGAAATCTTTGTACAGTTGGGAATATTCAAGTTGGTTTGAGACGAGCTTGTTGTTTATGTAGATGGCTACACCTCCTCCATTTCGGTTGAGACAGTCTGATCGATAGAGGTCATAGTTTAATAGAGTGGGAGTTGATTTTTCATATATATATATACATACATATATATATATATATATATATATATATATATATATATATATATATATATATATATATATATATATATATATATATATATATATATATATATATATATATATATATATATATATATATATATATATATATATATATATATATATATATTTATTGTAGTAATTGTGTAAATATTTCTTGTTAAAGAGTGCTCAATAACAAAGTAGAGCAATATAATATAGTAATATATAATATATAGTTGCTACTTTTTGTTGAGCACTCTCTAATATATCTGTTTATAATAAATAATTCCAATGATGAAGCAGCATTATTTCAACTTCTCAATGAAGAACATACCAATTCCATTGGAAAAACTATATTTAAAATACTTAACAGAGAAAATAGAGCTTGTTGTAAAACAAATGAGGTGATAAGCTTTGGTGTGCGATAAAAACCCCAACCATGAGTTTGTTTGTCATTTCGATCTTTAAACAAAAAAATGCCTACTGCAACATCCCGATCTTGTAAGTTTTGAACATGATTTATTAATTTTGTTTAAAAATCTCTTTTATATGTATTTTTTACATTTTTTTTAGTTCAATTAATAAGTATTACTTTTATATTATATTAATAAGAAATGACATTGCTAAAATTAAATCTTCATAAAACATGTTTATTTTTGCAGATTAAACTCAAAATCTTTTTGACATTGATAAACCTTCATATGAAAAACTTTTTATCGATAATATTATTAAAACATATAAAAAGTCTAATACTACAATGTACAACAATATTAACATGGAAGTAAATATTAACAAAAGTAACATGGAAGCTAAAGTAATAGCAACAAATTTGAGTATTGACGATCGATTAGAACGTCTTGCTATGAAAATTTATTACCGTAAAAGACCACAAAGAGAATTTCGCCAATAACCCTCAGTGCCGATTAATCAATCCTGCAAAGCCGGAGCTGGGAAAAGTTAGCAAAACTTTACTAGATGACATTAACAAGAACTTTAAAAACGCTACGCTTGTCCATCAATGGCATAGTACAAATAACGTTTTAAAATGGTTCCAAGACATCAATGACAAAAAAAAAATTGTGTTTGTGTTGTGACTTTTATCCATCCATTTCTAAACAGCTTCTTCACGATTCTTTAGTTAACGGCAAAAATTTTGCTCAAATTTCAGATAAGAAAACTGATGTTATTTACCATTCTAGAAAATCCTACTTTTTACAAGAAATAATATGTGGTTTAAAAAATCAGAAGACCGATTTTGACGTGACGTGGGAAGCTTTGATGAAACTAG